GAGCAATGCTACCATGAATTGCGTCTGACTCCATTACTTGACTCCATCTTTTAACTCTCATGCTCTCTATGACTTTACTATAATCTTTACTTATCATTGCTGTGCAATTGCGCCTACCGGACCTGTGATGATTTGTGGGGTTCCCTCTCCCCTTTAACCCCACACAACTCAAACTTTGAAGAACTTAAAATTACAAAATCTACCTCCATAAAGCATCAATTTGGAAAATCTCTACACAAAAAGGAAGCCATAATTGCTAATTCCAAGCTGTTCTCCAGGAAGTCTTTAAAATATTAAGCTTTGAAAATAAAGATCATGTATATTTATTTTGCTGCTTCCTTTGTTGCCATTTCCTCTCTACTAGAGACAAATATATATAAACCTTATGCATAAATGAACACTGAATCCATACTTCCTACTAATAAATGTAAAGTAATTGGTTGCCCAAAATAATGTTAATATGAAACATCAAAAAGAAAAAGTAATAATAGACCTCTTCCGTTGAAACAGTTTTTCTTACACAGGAAACCAAATATTAACTACAAAAAAAAATTTCTGACCCAAAATTAATCCTGCCATCAGTTCTTTATAACCTAAAGTTGCTAATCCTTTTTTTCTATTTAAGCTTAGTTTAAAACAAAACCAATGTTTGAAGGCTCACCAAAACCTACTCTTGAGATTGCAGGGAGGAACAAGCCAGTCAGGGTACAGTGTAACAACGATGAAACAAACAACTTTCCTCTAGTTCTTTAATGCTTCCTCCCCACCACTATCCTGATCCCAATTCTACCTTACAAATCCGTCTAGACCGGCTAGACACTGGTACAGATAGGAACTGAAAACACAGAGAACTCAGGACAGATGAACCCCTCAGGACCAGTGGTGAGACTGGTGATACTGGAAGGGTAGAGGGATATGGGATAGAAAGGGGGAACCGATGACAAGGATCTACATATAAGCCCCTCCCCGGAGGATGGACAACAGAAAAGTGGATGGAGACGTCCAACAGTATAAGGCATGACAAAATAATAATTTATAAATTATCAAGGGTTAAAAAAAAATTATCAAGGGTTTGGGGATGGGGGGGATGAGGAGCTGATACCAAGAACTCAAGTAGAAAGCAAATGTTTTGAGAATGATGTCAACAAATGTACACATGTGCTTGACACAATGAATGTATGTGCTAAGAGTTGTACGAACCCCCAATAAAATGATTAAAAGAAAAAAAACACAACAAAAACTGGAAAAAATAAAACCCAGTCTTGATCCTGTTCATTCTAATTCAGTGACTCTATATAAGGTTATCCTGAGGTTGTAAATCTTTATGGGAGCAGAATGACACCTTTTTCACTGGAGTGGATAGTGAGTTCGATCCACTGACCTTGCTAGCCATCTAACACTACACCAGCAGTGTCACCTGGTCTCCTTTTTGAGGAAAACTCACTGCCATCAAGTGGATTCCTATTCATAGCAACCCTATAGGGCAGGGTAAAACTGCCCCTATGGGTTTCCAAGACTATAACTTTTTAAAAAAATAATTTTATTGGGGGTCTCTTATAAATCTTATAACAATTCATCTTTCAATTGTATTAAGCACACTTGTACATATATTTCCATCAACATTTCCAAAACATTTTCTACTTCTGCCCTTGGTATCAGCTCTTTTTACGCCTCCATCCCCCATCACTGTAAATCCTTGATTATATTTTATTGTTATTATTTTATGTCTTACACCGTCCGTTGTCTCCTTTCATCCACATTTCTATTATTCATCCCCTGGGAGGGTGGGCTATATATCCAACCTTGTGATGGGTTCCCCCTTTCTCCCCCTGCCATCTCCCTACCATCATGATATTGCTACTCCCTCTACTATTCCTGAGGGATTTATCTGTCCTGAATTCCAGGTGTTGAGAGCTCTTATCTATACCAATGTGTGTACTCCAGTCTAGCCAGGTTTGTAAGGTAGAATTAGGTCATGGTAGTGGCGGGGAGAGAAGCATCCAGGAACTAGAGTAATAATGTGTGTTTCGCAGGTGCTAGACTCCACCCTGGTTGAACTGTCTCTTCCTTGTAACCCTTCTGTGGGGTGACATCCAATTTACAGATGGGCTTTGGGTCTCCACTCCAACCTCCGTCATCGATAAAATTGTTTGTATTGGATCTTTTGATATCTGATTACCTGATCCCATCAACATCTCATGATCATAGAGGCTGGTGTTTCGTCCATGTGGATTTCTAAGACTGCAACACTTTGTGGACGTAGAAAGCCTCATCTTTCTCCCATAGTTAGCAGCCCAAAAGGGTGGCATTGTAGGTTATGCGTTGGACCACAAGGTCAGCAGTTCTACTGAAATCACCAGCCACTCCACAGGACAAAGATGAGGTTTTCTACTTCCATAAAGATTTATAGTCTCAGAAACCCATAAAGGCAGTTGTACTCTATCCTAGAGGCTCACTATGAGTTGAAATGGTATCAATGGTAATGAGCTTAGACTTGCAGCCATCTGCTTTTTGGAGTCAGAATGGTCTCCATATATGCCTATGGAAAATAACTTGTCAGAAGAAACCCTGTATTTCAAATTCTTTGAGTTCTCATCTTTTAAGAGAGAAAAAAGCAAAGTAGTTTTAGTTTTGTGTGCATTATACATGTGAGTTGTGATACTACTGGCTTAGACACTTCTTGGCTGAGGAGCACATTCTTTAGCTACTTTGCAGATTTGAAAAAGTATTTGTTACAACATATTTGTATTTGGCTGCTAATCACCAAGAGCCAACAAATACCTTAGGTACTGCATATTTAGAAAAATACATACTCGGTCACTGGCAGTTCCTGAACAAATGGATAGTATGTGGCTGCACAGCTAGGGAAGACACAAGCTTCTGAGGACTCTGGCCACACCACACTTAGCCCAGCAAATTTGGGAACAAATGGTTTGACATCAGCTGATAACTTGATGCCCTGAGGAAAAAAGGTGGGGTTTAGCTACATACCCTGAGATCAGTCAAAAGCAAACAAAAAAGCAAAGAGAGGGACTGAATTCTAACAGCCCCAGAAATGCTAATCCACAACGGGTGTTCAAACACTTATGCCTTTCAAAGAAAACTGCAATGCTTTATTATTAGAAAGAGCAGTCTTCAAAATGTCATTAATTTTTTTAAAAGACAACAAATTAAAGTGGAAATAAATTCAATTCAGATTATATAATAAAGCTACACTAAAGAAAACGTTTCCTTAGTCTACAACATGGAAATATGGTATTTTTTAGTAGCTCAACTTTGGAGTAAGTATAATTGAGCAATGTAGAATAGCTGCAATCAAATATACTCCTTAAACGCTAACTTCAGTACTCAAAAGACACTACACAAGCTTATTTCCATTAAATTTCTCAAAAGTCAAAGAAAACATTTGACTTTCATTGAGACACTAAGTCTTGTTTGGCTAAACACATAATCCTAGAAAGTCATCCCGCCGCCATAAGCAGCTGAAATCTGAATTCTAAAATGTCTCTTACATATATTAAGAGACTTGTACCAAGAAGTTCGTAATTGTGTTGTTTAATTAGAGTTTAAAACTACTTTATTTGGTCGCCAGGGCTTTATCCAGGGTAACGAGAATGCAGAGCTGAAAGATGAATGCTTTTTAAAAACTACGTTTTCAAGTACACCAGCACTTCCTCAAAGTGCGACGAACTTGTACTCGTTCACAAGCCCTAACGATAGGAGGGTGGCAGTTAGTGTTCACATCTGGCACTGTATTGAACCCAGTTCCAAATGGTGGGCGACTGGGGTGGGAGCGAGCTGCGCCGACACGCACAGCACGCCGTCACCAGCCCCGGCGTGAGGACGCACTGCTGGCCTCCAGCCGACCGTCACCGCAGGCGGCCCTCCACGAGCCCGCAGCTGGTGAACCCTGGCACGGGGTGAAAGCTACAGCGCGGGCCCCGGCCTCTCTCGGCTCGCCCGCAGGGGGGCTGGGCAAGCCCCTGGTAGCCCTCACCTCGCCTTCAGACGCTCGCGGGAGCTCCGACGCCATGGCGGGCGGCTCTGAGGAGGCCCAGCCGGGAGAAGCTAGGTGCAGCCACGACGGCTGGCGGGACAAAATACTTCACGTTACTTTCTCGTGCTCTTCCGCCTTTGTCGCATTCGCGGAAGTGCGTCATAGAAACGCGACGGGGCCCGCCTCCCAGCCGAACCGGAAGTTTGTGTCGGGAGTAGAGGAGTGGCTCTGAGCGGTTGAGTAAACTGCCTTGAAGGAATGGAGCCTTGTAACCGTTGTAGTTACCCGTTAGGCGGCTGACTGCAAGGTCAGCGGTTAGAAAGCACCAGCTGCTCCGTGGGAGACAGACTGGACTTTCTATTGCTATTAAAGAGGTAGTCTTAGAAACGCATAGGGCCAGTTCTGTACGGTTGCTGTGTGGCGGCCACTGAGTTTCCTTTGCCCTTGGCTGAGTAGGAGGGGGAAAGGTGCAGCGACTTGGGAGGTGGTCGGGAGTGCTCCCCCTGACCGATTGACCATTCTAGCAGCACTTTCGGTTTGGACCCTCTGCACAATTCCAATGAGCCTTATATCTGTCCTTACGTCTTCTATGAAGAGAAATAGCAGACATTGGGATGCTAACTGCAGTTATCCTTTGGAACCCACTAGCCTCCCCAGGAGAAAAAGACGAGTTATAAAGATTTAGCATAATAACGCAGGTGACTGACTTAATGGCAGTGGGTATAGCCCACAGCAGTTAAACACAGGATTGAGGAGAGCCAGGCCTGGGGCAATAGTTAACTCATGTCACTTGGGAGAAAGCCTCCCAGCTTCTAGAGCTATATGTTCATTATAATGACGCCAGAAGTAAATGACGTAACTGCCAACCCCCTATGTCCCGAGGAGTTCCAGAAACTTGAAGCATTTTGGTGATACCCAAAGAACAATTTAATTTCAAAATTGCCAAGTTTGAGTAGCTATTGAGCATAAACATTTAGCAGAACCTCATGAAAAGACCCTCAAGGAGAGGAATTGGCACAATGACTGCAACAATGGGCTCCAATGTAACTAACAATTGTGAGGATGGAGGACAGAGCAGTGTTTTGTTCTGTTGTATGTAGGGCTGCTATGAGTCGGAACCAAATATATGGCACCCAACAGGCTAGCAGTGCAAGAGGTGGAAAAGTATTTTTGTGCGTTAAAGCATATCACAAGCTTGTCCTACACAATGGTAGAGTGGAGGGTGAAGAGCAGCAATGGAGGGTGTTTACTTAGAGGCTTGCAGGAACTGGAAATAATTTGCCTGAAATATAAGGAATAGGAGCTGTCATCTAGTAGCAAATTGGAGTTTGCTCCCTCCCTTGCAAGACTTGGATTTAGCAACTCTTATTATCCATATTCAAAACGTGCAGGAAATGCAGGCAATAGTAGGCTTATGTTCAAGGATGGTCCACTGGGGTTACCAAATACTCCAAAGGAGCTCATATTTCCAGCAGTGAGTCCTTAGGCTCTGCAGGAGCTGCAGGTGTGATCTGTCACACTTGCCCTATGTGGAGTACAAATTCTCCTTGGTCCAGTCTAGTGTGCTGGTAGCACAGTACCAGGCAGTGTTTTGTTGAGTTTGTCAGTACCGACTCAATAGGAGAGTGTGATGAGCTTTGTTGTGTCAACCCTACAGAATTGCCCCAGAGGATTTTCTAGGCTGTAATTCTTTACAGAATCAAACTGCCACATCTTTTTCCTGGGAAGAACTTGGTAGGTTTGAACTTCTGACTTTTCAATTAGCAGGTGTTTAATCACTACATCACCAGGGCTGCTTCCTAATGAATTACTCTGGCCCTCTTCTAGGCTGACCTTTCCTAGGCTGTTCAGTACTACCTTCAATTTATAATTGTGCCCACTAAGTATAAGGCACCCATTTCTAAAGAGGCAAGAGGATTAATGCTTAATGGCTGAACATGCTAATTTGAAATTATTCTCCATCGCATTTGAGATAAGCTGCCTTTATTTGCATTTAATTTACCCAGTCTAGCGGCTAAAAAGGTGGCATATGTTGGTATTTTACAATAAATGTGGACTTTAAAAAATGCTGTTTTTTGTTTTCTAATCAGAGGCAGTATAATCTGACTAAAATGAGGTAAAGGATAAGTCGTTTTTCTAAGACTAATAAACTGGCAGTTTTTTATTTGGCTACAGTTCAAATGAAGACTAGACCATTCATTCTCTAAGAACCACACAGTACTATAAAATCCACTTTGGCTTTTAAAATTTAAAGTATATCAGCTCATAAGTTTCTTCAAAGTAAATTAAATGGGCTCATAGAACTAGCTCCTGGTCAAAATGTAAGCTTACCTTCTAGACATTAAATACTGAGATAGCTCTGAGCGATACAAGATGAACCCTGCCTACAAATTATCTATGAGAGAGAACCAATAATTGGGTGCAGGGCAAAAAAAAAAAAACCACCAAATACTTAACTCCCTGGAAATGGTCATTGGAAATCATTGACCTAGTACAAAACAACCCCATTCAACATAGATTAAACAGGAAAACCTGGCTCCCTTGCATGTAGCAATGCAGTGTATTATTGACGCTCTCCAAGTCATAACCTTGGTTACTTCCACCAGAGAACCTCAGTTTTCATGATGAATCTGGCTAAGATGATAAGGAAATAAACTGACTAAATTGAGTCAACTATTGTTCAACATGTGCCAATTGAAACCACAAGTACGTGGAGTATAGCAATGCTTCCATCATATAAACCTATTTTAAATTTATTTATAATTTTATATATTAAGCTTATTTCCTCAGGTTAAAAAGTACAAAACCAAAATCTGTAAACAATCTCAACAGTCACCAAGAAAGTAAATGTCATTAACTTCCAATAGTAACAAATGAAACACAGTAACTTTATTATAAACAAAAGTAACAAGGTAAAAATTCAACAGGCAATTTACTTATACTCAAAAAAACTAAGGAAATTTGTGTCTTAAACACCTTATAGTAATCTATTTGCAGTTACATTTAACTGAGCTTTGTTGCTGTGGAGAATACAGCTCATGCACAGGTGTGGACGGAAGATTTGTACATCTTTCAAGTATTCACTGAATACTACACCATATATACACATAAACATTAAACTTGAAGATTTAATTGAACATCCCTATATAATCTTCATTTTTGTTGTTCTTTTGGAAGCGGTCGTCTAAAGAGAAGAATATGTGGTTCTGTGGAAAGAAAATATTACATATCATTTTACTACAATATGGTTAATTTTCATTTAACAAAAATTCAAAGTCTAAAATGCGTCAAAGTAAAAAGAATTTTAATCTATAATAAATCAATGGCTGTGAACTGTCTTGAAATGAATTTTGCTTCTAACATCAATGTCACCAATAAAAGATCAAAAGAATAAAACCCAATAGAGTCAAAAAGAAAACCCAATGAGAATATCCAGTTATTTTATGCTTAAAGAAAATCAAAAGTAGTCAAAACCACAGGAAGAACAGTGTATAGCAGATTCCCAAATGTATTTGGCCTACTGCTCCTTTTCAAAAAAAAAGAAAATTACATGAACCACCAATCTTATATTTAGCAGCCCGATCTAGCATGTTTTCACTTTCTGTTCAGTACGGTAAGAGACACCCTCTCTAAACTGAGTCAGATTTGTTGAAATCCAAAAGTAGACTGTCACTCCTTAAAATGTTTATCTAGTTGAAAGTAGTTTGAACTCACCCAGTAACAATTGCTCTTATAAAGATTACAGCCTAGGAAAACCCTTAGAACAGTTCTACTCTATCGCATGGAGTCACCATTTACTCAAAGACACCTAATATTTGAAAGAGATAGAAATGTAGAGACCAAACCTAGTATAGTAGTTTATTTTTCAGTAAGACATGCTGCTATACACATGCAAACGAAGTCTAACTTTGACCTGTTAATCAAATGGGTTTTTTTTTTGTGGTTTGTTTGTTTTGGATGGGGGGCAATGGTGTCATATGATTCTAACAAAATGCTTAAGCACTATTAGTTTTTTAACCATTACTGTTAATTCCATTATTATACTGTACTTAAGTGCAAAACTTACCTGGCTCATGAATCATGTAATGTACCCAGCCTAGACTTTGTTGAACACCAAGTCTCCTCCACTCCTCTTCGGACATTAGATGGGTTTTGGGTACTTGTTTGGAAAGTTCTCTGGGCAACATGACATGCCTGTTAAAAGATACAAATATGAGTGCTTCTTTGTTCAACTATAGTCACTTGTACATGCATCTTTTTAACATTTAAAAATTGAGTGCTTTCTCATCAAAACACTCAAAGCATTTAAAGCAACTCTGATTCTATTACCATTGGTCTCAAACTTGAGAGATTCTACTTTCTACTAACTTTAATTCTGATTAGTCTAAGTTGGGCAGTTGATTACACACACACACACACACACACACACACACACACACACACACACAAAACCATCTTCCATATGGCTAAAGCTGGAGAATAAGCTATACTTACAAAATATGCAAATTTGATCTTTAATGAGAAAACCCATACATATATCTGTTCAATTTTTCCCTTTCCTGTTGACTAGGATATAGATTGATGTGATCAGGAAGGTAAAGTAGAAATCCAGGACGACAATTGTTAATTATAAATTGAGGATGGCTAAGCAGTAAGAGGTATAAAGCCTGGTACTTTATTATAAAGCTGTTACCCCCAACCCCGAACTTTTACATCAGGGGTATGGGGGGGGATCTAATTTAACTTTACAGTTAATGTAGCTTCATTTACTCAACACTAAATATTTGGGGTAGCTACCGTATATGCTTGTATATAAACTGAGTTTTTCAGCACATTTTTAATGCAGTTTTGTGGTAAATTAGGTGCTTTGGCTGATATTCGGGTTGGCTTATACTGGAGTATATATGATATGTCCTTATATACTCTGTAAATTGCATTATACTTCACACAAAATTAAAAGCAGGGAGGGGCGTAAGGAGCGCTGGAACTGCTTGTGATGATCTGTATCCAACTCTTTTTAAGTGATTTAACTATGGAAATGTGTGCTATGTGAATATCATATCAAGAAACTACTAAAAAAATGAAGAAGCATACTTGACCAATGGTTACCATGGGTGAAGGAGGAAAAGTTTTTGCTTAGGAGACATTGCATTTATGGTAATGGTGGTGGAATAATTTGGAAAAGGATATAAATAATGGTTGTACAACATGAAGCGTAGAATCAATGGCACTGAATTATGCATGTAAAAGCTGTTGAATTGGAGACTATTTTGTTGTGTATATTTTGCCACAAGTTAAAACATTATATGAATAACAATGGATAAAGGAAGAAGAAAATGTTCTAGAAGTGATTGTGATGATAGTACAACTTTTCTTGATATAACTGAATTAGTGAATTGTATGACATTTGGATGAAATGTCAATAAAACTTAAAAACCAAAAAAGTGTAAAACATACACATGCACATTTATACTCTGTAATTACACATAGTCCATCAATTTTCCAACAAAGAAGTTACTGACCTATTTCTAACACTGTTTCTATTCAGTTTCCTAAGAAAGTAGACAGGCATCTCTCAGTTTTGGAAATTCTTAAAACAAATACACACACCCTCAGTCTAGTACTTATGGATCAATTTAGTACTGCTCGAAGGGCAAAAGTTAACCTTTCAATTATATTAATAGGCAGCCATGAGGCTAGATCAAATTATGTTGCTTAACATCATAGTCCCTACAACTATACAGGGACTCTTAGCAATGCTTATAGTTACCTCCCTTATTCTTGCAATATTGCTTTAACATCTCCTTGAAAGGCTGTAAGGAGTCCTGGTGGAAGGAGCCCTGGATAAGTGTTGGACTGCTCCTCTCAAGAATGAAGCTATCTGTGACCCCAGAGATTTACACCTTAAGGAAACTCTATATAGGGTACTATGAGTCAGAACAAACTGATGGCAGTAGATAGATTTAAATTTTTAAAATCTACAGGTATTCTACTATCATATTTATACTATATTAATTGTTGATTAGTTTAAAAGAAAAAAATGTAATACTAGTAAGATTTTGGCGCTCTCGGTTAAGTGTTAGATTGCTAGTAGCTCCCATATAAGGATTTGGTTCGATCCTACAACAGTTTATGGTTTATGTGTAAACACATTATTTATCAAAATGCTGTTTAGAAAGAAATTACAAAACACTACATTCTCCATAAACCATGGAAAACAGGGTCTTCTTCAAGGTCTGATAAGGCAACAATATTTAAGTAGCTTCAGGCTTAAATGAGAATTTTACTTGTATTTTGCTGCATATTTTTTAAACTACCGTATATACTTGAGTGTAAGCCAACCCAAATATCCGCTGAGGTACCTAATTTTACAAAAACTGCATTAAAAATGTACTGGAAAACTCGGCTTATACACAAGTCTATATGGTATCTAAATTTCCAAATTCAACAGTACTATGGGCCTGTTATGGAGGAGAGGGAATAAAGAAATCAAAATACAGAGCTAAGAGAACAAACAGCTCATTGTGGATAGCATTTACACCAGATGCTACACCAGCATGTGCAATCCAACCTAGAATCATGCCTCAGTGGTTAGCAGTATAAAGTTCTAATTAAAAGCATCTCACCAAACTCAAACTATACTCGTTGCCATCAAGTCAATTCTGACTCACAACAATTCTCTCTAGAGATTAGTAACTATATTGTTTCAGAAGGGTAATGGACTTGGTCAATTAAACCAAGTCAATTCTAATTTATATTGGTTAAGAATAAATTACTTCAGACCTGACAGGATTTTGTTCTGTAAGTATACACAAATCAATTATTAAACTAGGTCAACATGTTGATAGCAGCCTGGCTTATTTAGGAACTTGTCATCAGTGATTCTGTGAGTAAAATCAAAAGTAAAAATGCTAATTAAGAATTTTAACCTATTAATATTATGCTCTAAACAAAATTTACAATGTTTCTCTGTGCCCCACTCCCCCCTAAAAAAAAACCTGTCAGAGTGGAGTCAGATTCTTAGTAACACAGTAGGACAGGGTGGGGCTGCTCCTTTGTGTGCCCAAGACTGAATCCTTTCGAAAGCAGGCAGCCTCATCTGGCTGGCTGATGGGCTTGAACTACCAACCTTGTGGTCACAGCCCAACACTTAATCCACTAGAGAACCATCTTATTAAAAACAACTGAAGCTGATTGTGTTTCAGAATTAAGATTTTCAGAAAGGTTAAATATTGTTTATTACTGGCTATCCACATCAGGCTATGGATAACATAACTGAACATCAGCACCCATGAGTATATTCACATTGAAAAAAGTATTTTATAGACAAATGAGTTTTCAGAAGTCTTTTGGGTTTCTGAATGATGGACTTGGTGCCAATGTCATCATACTAACTTAATTATCCCAATATATTATGTGATTAAAACTGGAGTATTATAGTTTTACACACACACAGTTAATGGGCTCCTGGTAGCAAGATCAGCAGTTTGAAACCACCAGCCAACTCCACAAGGGAAAGATGAGGTTTTCTACTCGAGTACAGTCATGAAAACCCACAAGGGCAGCTCTTACCCTGTCCTACAGGATTGCTGTCAGATCAACTCAACGGTAGTGAGTTTCTTATGTAAAGATAAAAAGGCAACCTTGGTAGTGGTGCTTAATGCACTAGATTGCTTACCAAAAGTTTCAAAGTTCAAGCCTACCAGTCACTCTGAGAGAAAAGGTGGCAGTCTGCTTCATAAACCCGATAGGACAGTTTTACCGGGTCACTATGAATCAGAACTGACTCTGACAGTGGGCAGTGGTATATGAGGCAGCTTCAAAGAGTTCAATTATTTTTTTCCTCTTGATTTGTTTGGTTTTTTTAAAAATCATTTTATTGGAGGCTCTTACAACTCTTGTTACAACTCTTATTTTTTTAACGAGTTTCAAAGAGTTGCTTGCAGGTATTGTAAAGCTGTCTAGAGAAGCCCTCAGGTTTTGCCCTGTGATGGCAGATTTCATGATATTGGGGAGAGGAGAGGAGGTGGGACCATTCAGGATGTCCTTCTTTGAATAGCAAATCTACCCTTAAAGGATGGAAAGAGACCAAGGCCACTTTACTTGGCCATACCTACTTCTCTTCTCATTTTGTGTCCCAAAATGCAAGATTTGAGTTATTAACCTATAAGGTAATAGTGGTCAAAGCTGTGTCCAAAATTAAAAATCTCTTGCATACAATAAAGCTACTAAATTCTGTTTAAGCTCCTCCACCCCAATCCAATTTGCTATTTTTTCCCACAAAAATACATTCTAGTGCACCATTTCATATTTCAAAAGATAAAGCAAAACCTTCCTTTCTGACCATGTGTTTTTTTCACGCTCCCCTTCTGAACTCTCCAGCGGTTCCCTTGCGGCCTTGCATGCTTTCCAGGGATAACATGTACTATCTCAGACTATATTACCTGAAACTTCCTTTCCCCTCTTAAAAGTTTCTTGGACCAAAAAAAAAAGATAAAC